TGAATGACTTACATAAAGAAATTACAACCCGAATTAAACAAAATACTACAAGCTACAAACTTCATACAGATCTTAAAAAAAGATTTAAAACATTTGAGATGGGTGATTCTGTGATAGTTTGGATTGTCTGGAGTAGTTCTCAAAAGGAACTATTAAGAAACAGCATGCCAAAAGCGTTGGACCTGTCAAGGTGATAAAGAAAATCAATGATAATGCTTACGCGTTGCATCTGCTGCAAATTTTTGCATAAGTACCTCCTTTAACATTGAGGATTTAGTAGCCTATGAGAGACAATTTTAACCCACCCAATCCACTACATTCTGAGCCTTGTGTGATCCCACCTTGTGACCACCCTAGCCTACCTCCAATTCCTAATTTATCCAAATCACCCAATACAAATAAAATTGACATGATCTTAAGTGATGAAATCATTTTCACAAAGGAAGGTGAATAGAGAAGATATCTAGTTAAGTGGAAAAGTAAGCCCAAGACAGAGAATGCTTAGCTAGATCATAAGGAGTTGCAGAAGATTGGTCCAGATATATTAGAGTTGCACGAGAGTTCATATGACGTCTACTCAACGAGGTCGAGATCTCTCCCACCTTGGGAGAATGATGGGGACATCAAGGCATGAAAGGATTATCATAGAAGGGGTCATAGATTGACGACCACGATTGAGTCGTTATATTATTAGTTGTGTGTGTTGTATGTTATTTAATTTAATTTGTGAACTTTTCCTTTTTTTTTCCTCACTTGAGGGAAATGTTATGTTATAAGCCCAAGGGTATTTATGTCTTTTATATTGTCATGTGGTTGAGCCTATATATATGACTCTACCTTCTCCCCCCCCCCACCATTGGGATAATGATTATTTTGAATGAATTATGATTTCAGTCATCTTCTCTTGTGTGTGAGAGTAAGTGTGGTGATGTCATAAAGCCTTAGGAAAAGGCAAATGAAGTACCCAATAGCCCATTAAGGTGAGCTTTAGGTTTACCCCATGTATCTCTTCACCTTTCCCTCCTTCCTCCATAGCCGTCGGTCAGCACCCCCCCCCCCCCTTCCCCCCAAGCCGGCGGTCACCCCCCCCCCCCCCCTCCTTCCCTCTCTCGGCTAGCCACCACTTCCCCTTCACCGCCCATGGCAAGATCACCTTCCCATCCAAGTCCCCAATCCAAAATTTCCAAATCTGAAATTTTGACCTTTGGGATTCCAATTGGACCCCACTTGTCTCTTAGAATTCTAAATTCAGGATTTACTCCTCTCCTTCCATTCAATTTCAAAATTAATTGGGAATTAGAAAAGCCACAACCCCTTCTCTTTCCCAATGGTTGACCCACTCTTGGAACTCTCCATCTGAAATAATGAGAAGTTGACCAATTAATTTCAAAGTTCACTTTAACTTTTTCCCTTTTCAAAACTATTTTTTTCATTTTCCAACCCCACTCTCTCCCATTCCCCGAAGCTCCATCACTCTAATTAACATCACATCATTCCTAATCTCTCCCAAATAGCAAAAATCGTGGCCTCCCTCCTTCCAGATTTCGGCCAGCATCTCTTCTTCTCCACTGTTAAGCAAGACACAAGGAAAGCCCTACGGGGCAACCCTTTGAAGATCAACCAGTCGAGACCACACCACATCTGAAGGAAGCTTCTCTGTGACGCAAATAGCTAAGTCTTTCTACTCTTACTTCATACACTTAAGTAGACATCTTTGAAGTCCAATTCTCTGTGGCATCACTATTTTCATGATAATTTAAATCCGCTAGCTTCTTAAATCATTGAGTATATGGTTCTTGTAGTGACTAATCAATGTTAAATGTTGGACTTTTTTGCCAACCATGTTTGCTAAGTTATTGATTTGATTTATCCTTCTTGAATTCTAGAACTTTGGTTGTAATTAATTGTTATTTGTGGATTAATAGCTTGCAGATTTTAAATTCAGTTTGTCTTTAATTTCATAATGCAAGTCTTCACATGCTAGTTCTACATTAATTAGAAAAATAATATAACTGTGGCAAACTTACAACTCTAAATGAGCAAATAATTAGTTAACCTCCACTTAAATTAGCTTATAGCCTCAATCCTACATTTTACCATACATATGAGTGAACTGGGTGCTTCACCAAATATTATCATGCTTCTTACAATATGATCTTAAGCACAACTTTTTCTTGCATGCTTACATGCACTGAACTAAATTTTTACAGTGGAGGAAAATGGGCACTTTTTGCAACAACATATGTTATTAATTGATTCAAATAAACTTGTTTGCATATTATGCATATATGTTATTAGTTTTTATCTCATAAGACCCTCCACCTGGCACTAGAATTAGTTCTAGAATGTTTTATAACATATTAGAAGATTTAGATGTGACCAATCAACACAATCCACCCATCCTGCATATGCCAGTTATCTTAACCTTACTTATCAAAATCATGCTTGTAACAACATTACTTCTTAAAACCATCCTCACCAAGGACATGACAAATAGATGACAATCATACTTAGAGCATCTAATGCTTATCATGATCATACCAATGACAATCACAATGATCCTACTCAAAGGATCAAGATCAATGCTACCATAATTGAAGGCCTACATGACCCATGATACTTATTGTTGACCCGTACACAAAGAAATGTAAAAAAATGGGTGAATTTGTTGACTAAATTGACAGTCGGCGAGCGCGACACGTCACTTAAGTGGTCAAACGACCTCCGAACGGACTGCGCTTTTGCGCTCGAAGCGTCAAATTTACCAAAAAGGGGGCCCCTCGATGACCGACACGCGAAAATAATGTGCAACCCTACCCAGACGATGTCCAATCGCAGAACAGACTTTGTCATTATGCTCAAAACACCAAAGTCGTCTAAAAATGATTGTAATATCGCCAACCAAACGCCTCGCAAGAAAATCAACATGGATCCCGAGGTGACAACTCATGCATCGAGACTAAAAATGAAATTTTCTCTCATTTTATTGTTATTTTATAATAATAATAATAATAATAATAATATCATTATTATCATTAGTAATAATTAAAATAAAAAAAAAAATCAAATCAACTAAAAAATACTCGTATCTATTCTGCGGTTCACTTCCCCGATTTTCTGCTCAAATCTTGGCCTCACTTCGTTCGTTTATGCATCTTCCACTTTCACTCTTTATCGAACTTCATTCGTCTGACCGACCAACCTCCTGTGAACAAGACCCCCAGACCTTTGTGTTTCACCCGTTAAAACACTATAGCTAATTCCATCACTCAATCCCAAATATCCAACTAATCCTCCCGCTTGCACTCCTGCTCCAATCCCACTCCTTACAGCAACCTGCCGCCTGCCTTCAGTCTCGATGGAACCTCGCTCGACCCAACCACACCAACAACTTCACACATTAAAATCCTCTGAACCGCACGTTGACCCCCCAATCAAACCAAACCCAACTGGCCCAGCCTTAATCCCGTCCGCAAGCTCCAACTTACTCTGATCCCATCTGACCGATCCCTCTGCTACAGTCAACCACAGCAAGCCAATTCCTCTTAGCCTCCTGATCTTGCTCTCAACAACTTCAAATATTAAAATCCTCACACACCAGCAATCAAAAAGCATCTCCACCTTCACACTCTAGAAAGCAACCTTCACTCCTCTAGCATCCTCCCCAACTGCAGAAACCAACTACAAGCTCCCTCTCTCAAAACTACTTAACAACAGCAACTCCCTATCGCTCTATTATTTAAAAAAAGAAGAAAGAAGAAAACACAAAAAGAGAGGGTTTTAAAAAAAAAACAAGAAAAATAAAAGAGAAAAATAGGGGAAGAAAAGAAATTTGTGCCTCGATCTTCGTGCCCTCGACATCGACATTGATCCTATCGTCGACTCTCGCTAAGGTATAATGCACCAAACTCAGAAAGCCCTCAAATCCCATTTTCAATGCTCGCAATGCATCGGGGGGCAACCTATGCACGATTTTTTTAGAGTGGTGAGAGGGAACCCGGTGTGACGCAAGCGGTGAGTCAGGTGAGTCTTGTGCGTGATTTTCTTAGTGTGACAAGGTAAAACATAAGTGATGGTGTATGAGCTTCTATGTCTGCAGGAAAAACTATATTTTTTCACACATGTATCCTTAAAGACTCATGCACGTTTTTCTTGACGTGGTACGATTGAATACTACGGTCGCGGTGTCATCTAACACTGACCATACACATCTCTCTTGGCGTGGTGGGCAAGCTATGACTCCCAAAAATTTTCCTAAACAAAGGAGACACCCGGAACCTGCCGAAATTTAGACAACGTGGAACCTGACTTAAGCAAAATTGATAGGGAACGAAACTTGTAAATTGAATCAGAGGGAACCGGACCTAAAACCTAAAGCAAATTTGTAATTTGCAAAACACTGAAATTCTTGAATGCAAAAGAACAAGGGATTTGTGATGCACATAGTAGATCATCTGTGAAAGACAACAGGGAATGTGTAACGAAAGTGGCAGTTTGCCAGCGAGCATACAAAAGAACTTGGAATAAATATAAGCAATCTACAGTTAACTTGCAAGAAAACACATTAACCTTCTACAAACGATGAAAATAGATGTGCAACAAATGTGATGAATCCTCCATACCGACATATCTAAAGAAACAACACTGAATGCAGCTTACCGTCTACAAATAGAGGCAACAAACTTGTAATGCATGCAAATGTTAACGAGCAGCAATAACAATGAATAAGTTGTGTATGTAGTAGTCTCCCTACGCTCAACATCAGCCAGCTTGCAAATGAATACACTAGTTCACTTGCAAGCAATAACAGCGGACAAATTGTGAATGTGATAAGTCTCCTACAAACATATACAAGCAGTATGAGACGAACGCTACAGCACGAACGCTACAGCATCCTTTCAATCAATGTCAGCTAACTTGCAAATACATACGACAGCTCCCACGAAGATTGAAAGACATTCAAGCAAATACCCAAACTCTTAATAAGCATCATGAATTACCTATGAATGTGGTTAATGGATGTATAATACTCATGCTTGTGGAAGGGGCATGATAGCCATAATGAACACAGTAATGTGATCATAAAGAGTGTGCAACGAATGTAGTGGCATTCCTACCGTCAACAATAATTCAGTGTCAAGTAATTATAGTAGTTTCCTGCAAGAAAATAAGTCAATCAGTCGCTTACTTCGGTAAAATTTTACGTGCTAGAGTATGATGTATTTAGTGTTTGTATAGTTACTGATGTAGCCAATAGGTCAATCAGTCCCTTACTTCAGTAAAAATTTAAATGCGGCTAGGCAGAGGTTGTCTCCCAATGATGGAGATTTGTATTTCTAGGCTCCAATATGTTAAGATATAGTACGGACGTAACAGGAGACACTCATGAAGTTTTAAAGCAGTAAGGAGCATTTCAAAATGGTAAAGACTGATCAGAATCATTAGATAAGACATATAGTCTAGGGTATTCAAATAACAGATCTATTTTCATGTCTTCCATTAAACATTCCAAAAGAAAAATTAAGTATGAATACTCAAAAGTGTAATTAACTTTCAAGCATTCTCAATCCCAGCTTCCAACTTGACCCTTGAAAAATAAATAGAAATGAAAAGTTGGCATAGCTGCGAACTCTCTCACAGCACTTAACCGCGAAATTAGATTCCAGACATTTTAATTTCTGCGAGGAAACAGGTTGTTAGGAGGACACGCCAATGATTGAAGATATGCTGGAAAGACAAATCCATGACCTAATTAATCAGTCCCACTAGTGTTGACCTGTGTAAATTGGTTTGAATTACATACTAGGTCGACGGGTTACAATGGCCTCACAGTGCTTCCTCGTCGGTAAAAAAAAAACAGTCCCACTATACCATCTCTAGGTGTTTTGCAAGGGGAAAGGTGTCACCTTGAACTTCCTGAATCTCGGCCTCCACGAGAAGAAGCTCCTCCTCGACGTCCGTCTCCATGGAGTCGAACAAATTCGTCTCGGTAAGGTAAGTGAAGGGTCGACCAGGGGTGGGCTACTAATCCGGGTAGAGTCAGCCCAGCCTGGTATGCTCAACCATGCCACCATTGCACAAAATAGCCATTTCAGCCCTGCCACGCTGGACATTATACCTATATTATATAGACTCATTTTACACACTTTTTTTTCGAAAAAAATAATAGCAAATATACTCAATTTCATTTCAAAAAATAAAAAGTTATAAATGATTTGTAAGAAAAAATTACAAAATCAAAGAAAAAACTAAAAAAACCCTAAAAAATAAAAACTCCTCTATGAGTGAAAAAATACAAGAAAAAAGGGTTCAAAAATAGAACTCTGAAAAGAAAATAACATCAATATAAAATTGAAGCAAAAAATGAGAAATCTCAACAAAAAAGAAGAGAACCAAGAAGCCAATCAATATCATGGGATTTCAAAAGAAAGAAGCAATAAAATCCTCTCTTCCAATCAAATAAAGTTCAACCTCTTCTTAAGATACAATCTCTTCACAAGAACAATCATCATCAGAAATAGTCTCACATCAAAGAGAGAATAACCAGCTGTTAAATCTCCCTAGATCCAGGAAGAAAGAACAAGAATTCAATCCATATAATAACAAAATCAATAAACCTCTAAAATATGCAAGCATAACTCCATCATAACTCCATCAACTACCAGCAAAGAAACAACCAGTAGTCAACCCAGCAACAAAAACATGATACCAGCAAGAAAAGTCTTCCAACACCAGAGACAAAACGCCTAAGAACACTACCCGAGCCTAGAAACCAGAAAGAATAACATGAGATTTTAAAATGAAAAAACACTTAGCTCAGGAAGAGAACGAAAAAATCATCAGAGAAAGCAAAAAATCAATCCTTGGTTGTAATTCCGACCATCCAAGGTTTTAACAAAAAAAATGGTTGCCAAAAAACCCTCCAAGAAAAAACTAAAGCCAAAATATCAAAGCCCAAAAAAAAACTAATAAGACAAAAAACTTTTAATAAAATGAAAGGAATTCCAATTAGAAATCTTGGCTAAAAGATTTGTAAAGAATAAACTACACAAAAAATTAGAGTTAGAAAATTTATTCTCAAACCTCTTAGAATTCCTTCTTTCCAAATGAAGTAAATAGAACAACAAACAAAAATAACTAAATTCTTAACATTAGAATCATAATTAAGAGAAGAAATATAATACATCAATTGCTCCAAATTAGGCCCAAGCAAAAAAAAAATTTTGATATTAGGCAAAAAGTTAGAAATAATACTAAAAGAAAATTCACATTCAAAAAATAGATGATTATGGCTTTCTTATGCTTTTGAACAAATAATACAAGAAGTAGAGACGCTAAGGTTTCTCTTAACAAGGATATCAGTCATTTTATGCCCCTTCAATATAATCATTCAAGCATAACAAGAATCTCAAAGCATATCTTTTATGCCAAAAAAACTTATACCAATCCACTTTATTGAAGTTATCATAGTAAGCTTTATGAAGCATTTTAAAAGAAGGAAGAAAAACTCCATTCCAAGAAATGTTAGAAGCTTGAGGATTAGTAATAGCAACTTGAGATAAAATAGATCAAATAGCTGGAGACAAAGAAAGAGGCAAATTCCAATAGTTATGAGAAATCCAATCCCCTAACTCGCCATTATGAAAAGAAGTAGCCAAATTTAATCTGTCTGACACAGCAATCTCATGAACTGACCTCTCCATACACCAAGAATCCTAATATAAAGAGAGAGATTTGTTAGAAAAAATATTAAAATGAACCTTGCTTTTATTATCTCTTGCAACATAAGAGATATTTTTCCAAAAGAATGGAAACATTATTTGACCAAGGCTTCCAAAAAGATAAGTTCTTAAACTTTATCCAAATAGCTAGTGGACCAATATCATTGGTGATTCTCCAAATAAGAGAACAGGTATAAGCAAAAAAGAAAGCTTCATGTCAAAAATACTAAGACCCACAACATCTATAGGCTTACAAACATTATTTCAAGCAATGATATGAATCTTCCTACTAGTGGAATCACCATGAAAAAGGTAATTATAGCACACCTTTCTACTAATTTTTATACAATATTTAGGCATAGAAATACCCCTAATCCAATAAGAAATCATATTAAAAATAGTAAAATTTAGGAACTAAACCCTACCAATGAAAGAAAGTAATTTAGCTTTCCAACCGACAATTATAATCATAATACGACTAAATAAAGGCTGAAAATCATAAGCTTTAAGTTTCTTACTAGAGAGGGACAACTCAAATATTTAGAGGATACGAAGAAATTTTAATGCAAATAATATAACTAATAATTTCTTTTATTGACAATCTTTAGAAATAATAAAAGAGCTTTTATCAGTATTAATAAACAAACCAAAATGCAGATGAGAAATATGCCAGAATATCATTAAGTTTGTGAGCATTCTCCAAAGAAGCTTTACAAAATGAGAATGTCATCGGCATACAGAAGATGATAAAGAGAATTATCACGAGCCTTAATCCCCTCAAAGCTAGTAGTATGAGAATAATCATCCATAATATTAGAGAAAGCATCCATAATAATACATAAGAGATAAGAAAAAAGCAGGAAACCTTTCCGAAGACCCGAAGTAGAATTAAAAAATATGTGCATAGAACCATTAGGAATAATAGATAAAAAACATCCTCTATGCAACCTTTAATCCAAGAGATGAAAATATGAGGAAAGCTTTCATTTACCATCCTAGAAATTAAAAAATCTCTAGAGACCTTATCAAAATCCTTATGAATATCTAATTTAGCAGAAAAAAACTTATCTCTAGAAGAATAATTAATATCTCTGAGAAGTTTAGCTGCAAGAATGATATTATTCGTAGAAATCCTCTTCTTAATAAAACCCAATTGGCTTTTATGGATAATAAAAGGCATAACATCCTATAATCTATTAGCAAAATTTTTTCCATAATTTTATAAAAAAATATTACATAAAGAAATAGGCCTGAAATCCAAAACAATAATAGCATTATTCTTTTTGGGAATAAGAGAAATGATAGTTGCTTTAGTAGCTCTCGACATAGAACCAGTATTGAAATAATAAAGAATAGCCTAACACAATGCATATCCAACAATCTCCCAAGTATTTTTAAAAAATTCAAAAGTATAAACATATGGACTTGAGGCGGAAGAGCGAAAGCAGCTTTCAGATAATCAGGAATAATAGTACTAGCAAAAAGTTCGAAATAAGTAGCGTTAGCTGGAATAGGAGAATTTAAAATATATTTAAAATAACTCTCAAAAGTATTAGCAATTTCAATAAGATCCATAACAATCCCTTGAGAAGAAGAAATACCATGAATCTTATTGGAATTTTGCCTGAATCTAATTTTAGAATATAATAAAGAAAACATAAATCATCTTCTCCATAAGACATCCATTTCTATTTAGCTCGTTGAGCAATCCAATAAGACCAAAGAGACATATTATCTTTAAGAAAATAATTAATAGTAATAAAAGCCAAATTAAGATTATGATTAAGTGGATTCTTCTATAAAAGACTGCATAAATCACTTTGTTGCTTCTTAAGAGACTCAATTAAAGAAGTAAGATGCTTAAAAGAAGCCCAATCTTGTTGTTTAATTAAAGCTTTCAGTATATGAAGTTTACCAAAAAGATTATTGATAGGATTTTTTATAGAAGGTTTCGCAAAAACCTCAGTAAGCAACTCCCAAAATTCAGCTTTCTTGCATCAATAATTTTTGAAAAGAAATCTATTACAAGTAGAAATCATATTATTGTAACAAACAATAAGAGGAGAATGATCAGAGCAGAGAGGATTATCAATAACATAATAAGAAGAAGGATATGAAGTCAACCAAGAACTATTAACAAAAACCCTATCTAATTTAATATGCATAGGGTTATTTCTTTGCTGATTGAACTAAGTGTAAAAATAATCAATAGATAAAAGCACTATTAGTCTTGAATTAAAAATAAAATTGTTGAATTCTCCCAAATTGTTATAAGAAAGATTATTCCCTGTTGACCTTGTTTCCCACCAAACATGGGTCAAAGGGGGTTAACTTGGTCAAATTGATTAAGCCGGGCCCAAGACTCTTTTCACTAAGTTTAGTGGGTCAAGCCAAATCTACTGAGCCCAAATTTAGGCCTGGGTCAACCTGGTTGACTAGGTCAACCCAAGTTGACCCAAATTGACCCAAATCCTTTCATGTGATTTCAAATCCATTGCATAGCTTCTTAGTCTCAAATCTCACCTCCCTAGGGTTCCATGGGTCAGACATATACTTTGGGTCAACCCGGTTGACCAGGTCAACCAGGTTGACCCATTAAGCCTAAATGATTTCATTTTAAATTCAAACCAAATTCAAATCCAACTTGGACTCAACCCATTTCCTCTTGAACTTGATAGACCAAGTCAACCCTTAACTTGGTCAGCCCAAGTAAACCCTTAAGTCAAATCAACATATTTAACTCAATTAAGGCCCCTTCAATGCATTTAAAGCCCTCTTAATGCCCCTTGGTTCAAACCACGACCAATGATGAGGGTTTTCCCTCCTAGTCAACCATAAAAGTGATCTTGGTTGTTTATCATGAGCTTAGGCCTTTAAATAGAGAGCTTAGGGAAACTTAGAGAGGACTTTTGCAATATCTCTTTATCCAAGCCCTCTCAATCGAGATCTTTTGTACTCGAGCTTCCAAACCTTCCCTCCACCTCTCCCTAGTCGAATCCCACCAGTTAAGGCTGCCGTCGGTGAGATCTCCAATGACCCGAGACCATAATCCTTCCTAGGCAATTTTTCGTTGATCTAGAGTGTTTGAGAATGTGAATTCTTCTACAAATAGGAGCGTGGATAGTATACAAGTGCACCAAGTCATTAAAATGGTCAAACCGTCCATAAACCAAGGTGAAATCCCTCACCCTAGTCTATGACACTTAGGGTTAAATATGTTAAGTTAGTTGCTATTTGAATGTTTTATATTTTTGTAACTTATGTAGTTTTGATGATTCCAAACATTATTGTTCAAATGTGTAATTATCTCCTAACAATTTTAG